AATATGAAAAAAATAGTTGCCGCAATGCACACACAACGGCGGCTGTCAGTGAGATTAAAAGAGCACGGGAGAGATATGGGTTGCTCTATCACTCATCAGTTGAAGAAAAGGGCATAGAAACATAAATCAAAAATTAAAACAATCAGAATAAAAAATACCTCTAACGCCTCGCATAGATGATGTTCGAATTCTTCGTCATCCGGGATATTCTACAAATACATTAATAACTTGAACGTCTCTCACATACATGAAGGGGACACTGATTCTTAAAGTTTACTTCGCGTTTGTTTAGAGCTTGCTTCCGTGTATAGGATTGCCAAGAGGAACCGCCACTTTTGAGAGGCAAAATGCGTGGCCCATGAGTTGTGTAAGATCACTTTTCTTGCAAGCCAGCCGCTGCAGTACCTGTTCCTCGTTCATTTTTTTTACTCCGCGCCTTTGGTTTTGTTCTCTGCCACAGGACCACTGTCTCCACCCTGTCGGTCTTTTGTGAGGCTCGTTTACCGTCAACAGAAGCCATTTTCAATACTATCGGCAGCTTCTTTGCTTTTATTTTCTACATAAAGAAGCCGCTTAGCAACTACCGCTTCATATTTAAGCTATATTCCAGCAATCTATTACATTATCGCGCAATGTCTCTTTGAAGAAATACAGATATCCTATAGTATTGGTACCTTTTGGAAAATTCACCTACCCAGACAGACCACAACAGCAATAGTGACTCGGCATACTGCCTGCTAGCTTCAATCACTCTACCCGTTATCTCATTACCCAAAGACATGAAAAAAAGATTCACCTGCAATAGTGTGTTAACACTGCTTGTGAGAAGGGGATACACTGATCCAAGAATAAGAACTGAAAGGATCAGGGAGCAAAGTGGATCCACCCAAGTCCATCCAAACCACTGGATAAGCAATGTCGAGATGATAACGAAGACCGAGCCCAGTGTGTCCGCCAGAACGTGAAGAAACACACCTAAAATCGAGCAAAGAACAGATGATGTGCACGATGTCAACATAACTTAGAGGTAATAGATCACTTGGAACATTCACAGTACATAGTC